TATAGATTTATGGAAATGGATTAATTTAAGCTATAAGAACAGTTAGCAAGAAGCCTGCCACGGCCATACAGTTTGTATGCAATATAAGTCTCTGTGTTTACTTGGCTGGGACGGAGCGGCTGTGGGACTGGCGGGTGACAAAGATTTGTCCTGACTGTGGGCAAGGACAGAAAACTCTAGCTACAAATGTGACAGCCATACGAGTAATGGCGTCAGCCCTCTGATTACCTTTGTTTAGAAGTCCAGGCAATTGAGTATGAGTTCTAATGTGGCCCACATAAAGGTTATGTGAGCGGGACCATATAAGTCCTTGCACTTGCAATAAATATTCATGAATGGGAAAAATGGATAGTATGTAGGCTGTCGTCTCCAAAGGCATAATGGCATGTGCCACATATTGACTATCAGTATAAATATTTACACTCTCATCAGAAAACATCTGTAAAGCAAGCAACAGTGCCTGTACCTCTGCCATCTGGGCCGAAGTGCCCTAGACTTTCATTCTCTTCACTATGTTACCAGAAACCACCACAGCAAAACCCTGTGAAGTGCCATCAGTAAATACCACACGGGCCTGAGGAATAGGAGTCATCCGTACTATCTTGGGAAATATAACAGGATGCAATTTAAAAAAATGACACACATCATTGGAGGGGTAGTCTCAACTCTAGCCCATATTCTATTCTTTCCCTTGTTTTATACACTTTGAATTTCTTATCGGTGGACTCTGCTGGAGTATCCGCTGCAGATAAGCACTGGAGGGCTCCTGTTGCAAATCATCCTCTGGTGCGATGGAAAGATCTTTCCTCTGGCACTTGGAGGGGACCCAATCCGGTGTTGGTGTGGGCCCGGGGATCTGTTTGTGTCTTTCCACAGGACAATGAGGTTCCTCTTTGGGTTCCTGAGCGCTGAGTGCACCCTGTGGCTGCTGCTGAATCCCAACATGGCAGAGACCTATTGGGCCTTTGTGAAGAACTCTCCCCTTCTGATGCCAATGGGGACTGAGAGCCCAATATGGCTAGCCTTGGCAAACATTAATGTAAGCCTAGGAATTTACGGTTGGATTCTCCAGAAGGTAATGTATGGCAACTGCTCTTTCAAGTATGTTTGAGAATGTGTCACCCAGACACCTTGGAGATTAAGAATAACCTTGAAGGCCACTGACCTCCATTTGTTAACAATAGCATGCCAGCTAAGCCTTTTCACATTTTGCAACCCTCTTCAAGCTGGTGTAGTACCCTACTTTTCAGGAGTGGCTCAGTGCAACATTTACTGGCCTCCTGAAATTCATCTAGCCTCTTTTGAAGATACCTTAAAATTTGTGAGCCTGAATGTAGCCATTATGAGACCATTAGTTCTGCTCCTTGTTTGCTGTCTGTTTTTTGTTTGTTTTGTTTTTGTTTTCTTTATGGTTCTTAGTTGTTCTTTTGCAGACCTGCCAGCTTAAGTCATGCTGGGATCAAGAAAAATGGGCCTTGGCAGGTCATGTTCCTGGAGCTGTGTCCATGCCAGTGGACCATGGCAGTTAGACACAGATGATACTCACACGCTCCAGAAGAGAATCTGACATCGCTGTTGCCATTGTTGCTGTTATAGCAGTGGTGGCCACTGCTGCTACTGTTTCTGGGATTACTATTTCATAATTGGTTACTACAGCTAGCACAATGGAGACCCTGGCAGCAAAAGTAGCTACCACAGTTAATTAATCTTCCATTCTATTGGGCATGATAAATTTAATTCAACAGTTATATACATTTGAATTGGCTTTGTAAGTTGTAAAATTTAAAACTCAAGTTCCATTTGCCTTTATAATACCATCTTACGAGGACTCCAATTTGCATAAGGCTTGAAGGAAGGGAATGGTTCAATTGCCTTTAGCCTCCTGGCTATGGGTGGGTTCGGACTTCTGTTGGTCTTTTCTGTGTCGCACAGATTGCAAGCCCAGCGCTACTTTGAGATCTTTGGCAACAGTTTACTCTACAGTTCACGTGGTTGAGCCTGTATGATAATGAGTATTCAGAGATGGGTAATGCTTGGGGGGCGCTCACCAACCTAAGACAGAGCACCTGTGTGGCCTGGGCAGGTGTCTCCATGACGGGTAAGGTGACCTGCTGACATCCCACGCAACCTAAGTCAGAAGCTCATTTTTTAGTAAAAAGGGGGGACCTGTAGGGCCCTGGACCCCATTTTGAGTAGCTGTTGCCTGCTTGCTGACCTTGACCAGATGTCCTCCCTATGCTAATTCCCTGCTGGTATCCACCATTCTGAATGCTTAAGGGAAGTTCCTTGTTTGTGTATCCTGCATATTGGGTGTTAACAGCTTAGATGGAAGAATGTAGAACGTTCTGTAGCGAACTTCTGCCCTCTGGGGTTCTCCCATTGTGCTGTAAGCCTGTATTTAAGGTTTCCTCCCTCCTTCAATAAACGGCATTCCGCATTCTGCATTCTGCTGAGGCGAATGACCCGCTGTCTTTTGTCTCTGTTTTTTGATCCACAGCCCCTCGCTCGGATATGGTGAACGGGTGGCAGTAGTGCGTGCATTATCGCTACAACACATAACTTCAACGTTCAGTTTTGTTTAAGATAGTGTCTTGTGCCGGGCAGTGGTGGCACATACCTTTAATCCCAGCACTTGGAAGGCAGAGCCAGGCAGATCTCTGTGAGTTCAAGGCCAGCCTAGTTTACAGAGTGAGTTCCAGGACAGCCAGGGCTACACAGAGAAACCCTGTTTCAAAACAAAAGCAAAATAAAAAAACCAAAAACTGTCTTGCCTGCTATGTGGCCTCAAACTCTGTATGCCTCTGCCTCAGTCTCCTGAGCTCTGAAGAGCAGCTGTGTGCTACTTCACACAGCCTACTGATTGGTGCCTGTTGACTCTCTGTCACAGACTAGGCACATTTTCAGCACTGCCTTGGTGTCTATTTTTTAAAATCTAGTCCGGGGTATCATGGGTATGTAGGGGACGGACATCCTTTCATCTTTACAAGGATTCCAGCGATCAAACTCAGGTTGCCAGGCATACATGTCAATCACCTTCATCTGCTGAGCCACCCCAGAGCTCCACCTGTCCTGCCTGACGTAGATGTTCCCAATGCAGTTCCGTCACAGCAATGAACGCTGGCATCTATGGCCTGAGAGTAAACCCGAACGAATTATGATTCAGATACGTGACACTGTTACCAGACTCACAAAATACTTTCTTGGCTGGGCATGGTGGCAGAGGCAGATGGATCTCTGAGTTCAAGGCCAGCGTGGAATACAGAGTGAGTTCCAGGACAGGCAGGCACACAAAGAGACCCTGTCTCAAAAAAACAAAACAAAACAAACAAACAACAAAAAAAGAAAGAAAATTCTCTGTGCACACACATTTGCATTTTTTAATTTTTAAAAATACTTGTATTATGTCGAGGAGACGGTTTAGTGGATAAAGGCACTCACTGGCAAGCCTGCTGGCTAACTTGAGTTCAGTCCTTGAGGACACAAATATGGTTTGTGTTTGGAGACAGGGTCTCTCTACATAGCCCTAGTTGGCCTAGAACTTGCTATGGAGACCAGGCTGGTGGTCTCTAACTTACCAACATTCACCTGCCTCTATGTCTTGAGTCCTGGGGCTAAGGGCATATGCAGCATTCCTGGCCTCCTGATATTACATTTTGAATCCATCAAGGGATTAATAAACTGATGCACTGGCTGGTTTTGTGTCAACCCAACACAAGCTGGAGTCATCAGAGAAGAAGGAGCCTCGCTGAGGAAATGCCTCCATGAGATCCAGCTGTAAGGCATTTTCTCAGTTAGTGATCAATGGGGGAGGGCCCAGCCCCTGGTGAGTGGTGCCATCCCTGGGCTGTGGTCCTGGGTTCTATAAGAAAGCAGGCTGAGACATGGGGAACAAGCCAGTAAGCAGCTCCCTCCATGGCCTCTGCATCAGCTCCTGCCTCCGGGTTCCTGCCCTGCTTGAGTTCCTGTCCTGTGTTCCTTTAGTGATGAACGGTGATAGGGAAATGTAAGCCGAATAAACCCTTGCCTCCCCAACTAGCTTTTTGGACATGGTGTTTGGTCTCAGCAATAGAAGCCCTAATTAAGACAACTGGTGTCCACATGACCCGGCACCTCTGGAAACACCCTCACAGATACATCCAGAAGGGAGTTTTAGGGATGTCTTGCTACGGCTTCATCTGATCAACCTGACACCACAGACCACCACATGTGTGCTGACCATCAAGTCTACACTGCCCTCACACCTGGAGTCCATTCACATCTACTAAGATTGCATGTCCAGATGCAAATGAATCTGTGTGTGGAGGGGAGACAGCTGGGGTCTTCCCCAGTCACGCTCCGCTCCCAATTCGGCAGACTGGACAGCAAGCCCCACGGGTGCACAAGCCCTAAGATCTCCCCGCCTCGGCGCCGCGGGGCGCCCTCACCTCAGATGCCTGGCCTGGCCTTGCTGCCTGTCTGCAGAGTCATAGGTTTGGCGGCCTGCATATTTGATGATGTCGCCGTCGACTCGTTGGTATGGTTTGTTCTCCATGCGATGCTGCTATGGGCTCGGCCCGTCTTCGCCTCTACCGCAGGGATCTGAAACAGCGCCAATGCCACTCTGACGAAGAAATGGCAAAGTGAGGAAAGACGGGCCTCCCTGCTGTTCCTGGCACAGACCCACCCAGGACTGTTAGCGGGCGAGTGTGGCTTGGTGGGAGAGCCCTGGCCTCGTGTGAGTGAGGTCCTCAGCTCTATCACTAGCACAGAGATCGAGGAACAGAGAGAGAGAGGATGGGAAGGGGGGAGGGGAGGGGAGGGGAGGGCCCCGTAAGGGACCTCACATGGCTAGAAGGCCCACATAGACAAAACTTAGGGAACCGAGAACTGCAGACGAAATCAAGTGTTGGGCCTGGAGAGTCGGATCGACCTGTAAGGTGCTTGCCATTCAGACATGAGGACCTGAGTTCAGTCCCCGGCACAGAGGAGGACGGAGAGGGATGCCCTGCCCCAGAAAACAAGTTGGGGAGCATAAAGAAAGAGCGAGCTGTGGGCTGGAGAGATGGCTCAGTGGTTAGGAGCAGTGGCTGCTCTTCCAGAGGACCTGGGTTCAATTCCCAGCACCCACATGGCAGCTCACAGCTGTCTGGAACTCCTGTTCCAGGAGACCTGATTCCCTTAAACAGACATACATGCAGGTAAATCACCAATGCACATAAAAATAAATATTATTTAGAAAGAAAGAAGAGAAAGGGGGAGTTGATGGTCATCTGGTGCTCACAAGGGCTGGGGATGGGTAAGGGGTGAAAACAGCCACCGTCTTAGACCTGCACAAAGATGCCAAGAATAAATGAGCTTAAAACTTTAATGCGGTAGATGTTATTTAGTGAGGCAGAGCCGTGCTACACTTGTTCATGCTGCAGAATACTTAACTATGTAAAGGTGCGTTACTTTTGTTTATGTTGCGTTTGTTTAACTCTGTGAAGCTGTTGCACCTTGCCTGTCTAGGGTACCTGATGGTCTAATAAAGAGCTGAACGGCCAATAGCCAGGCAGAGAAAGGATGGGCAGGGCTGGCAGAGAGAATAAATAGGAGGAGAGATCTAGGCTTGAGAGAGAAGAACAAAAGGAGGAGGAGAGGAGGAGGGAGGAGAGGAGGAGAGGATGGAGGGAGGGGAGGAGGAGAGGAGGAAGGACGCACCTGGGGCAAGAAGTCAGGCGGCCGCCAGCCAGAGCAGCAGTGACAGCAGGATACACAGAAGGTAACCAGCCCTGAGGCAAAAGCAGATAAAACAACCAGGTTAAGTTAAATGAGCTACCAGAAACTACGCTAGGCTGAGGAGCATTCACAACTGACAATAAGTCACTGTGTCATGATTTGGGAGCTGGTTGGTGGCCCAGGAAAGCAGAGTATGAAGGAAAACACAGGATCTCGACCTCTGGCCTCCTCACGAGTGGCCAAAGCTTTGTTCCCAGCACTGGGCGGATCTCTGTGAGTTCAAGGACAGCCTGGTCTACATGAGAGACCCTATCTCACACACACAAAAAAGAATAACAACAACAAAACTCCAAAATTATCAATTTTAAAAGCACAGTGAAATGTCCCCTAATTCTTATTTCCTCGGTGAGCCTTTCTATTCCATGCTGTCGAATGCTGGCCAGACTCTTTTCAAATGGATTCCAAATTTTAGGATAAATAAATTTAACCGGGCATGGTAGCGCATGCCTTTAGTCCTAACAGTAGGGAAGCAGAGGCAGGTGGATCTCTGAGTTCTGGGCCAGATCCATCTACAGTGAGAGTTCCAGGACAGCCAGGGCTGGCTACACAAAGAATCCCTGTCTCAAAAACAACAACAACAAAAGATTAAGTGTGTGTGTGTGTGTGTGTGTGTGTGTTTGTGCACCTGAACCCAGGTGCCTATGGAGGGCAGAAGAGGGAGCTGGATCCCATAGAACTGGACTTTCAGGCAACTATGGCCGCCATGTGGGTGCTAGGAACCAAACTCAGACCCTGTGCAGTAAGTCCTGAGTGTCTCTTCAGCCTCCCAACAAAGGCAAGGTGTGCTTATCTCTCACACAGAAAGGACCTGTCTCAAAAAGAGGGTTAGAAGCCTAGTCAGGGTGGTGGCCCGCCTAGAACCCCCCAGTGAGGGCTGGGGGCGTGGTCAGGGTGGAGCCCCGCCTAGAATCCCCAGTGA